CATTCCGACAAGGATCTCTAAAAAATATAATATTATTCAGCACCAACCTGGTATTTTTTATTTATTGCGCTAAATAATAGACACTCTAGCCACTATGGCGTGCCAACCTGGTACACATTTTCTGGATACATCAAAACCATGTTGTAAATCCGCTAAGTGCAGATTTTTTTGAATATCAATTCTTATTAGTATGCAATTTTAGCAATTCAATTGGTCTCATATCTGATATGATACAAAGTTCTGTCAGAGATCATATGATACAAAGTTCAGTATCCAAATAATGTTATAAGCATCTAGACATCCTGATGTTATTGACACATGTACGTACGTACAGTACACACTGGCTATCTAAAGGTTTACAATTTAAGGGTCAGAGTAAAGGTTAGGTATCATTATGGGGTATAAAATTCCATACAGTACAACACAAAACCAGTCATAGTACCGTACCAAATATATATATATACGTGCCTATTATTGCCGTATAGATAAATTCAAAACATATGTTCTACGAACAAAGCCTCCATCTTACTGAACCGACGTATTTGTTCTTTTCTCTTCGTCCAGTTCCGTATTTTTTACCTTTAGGAGAGCACGTACTAATGCCAAAAATAAATTCAGAAATGCGTCTACAATTAACAAGGTCAGTAAAATTATTTAGTTTTAATGTATTTTGGTTGTTGAAAGAAAGGTATGGAATTTACGATATAATATAACGATACAGAATATTTATGAAGAAAGTAACGAGAGGATTGAATTTATGCTAAAGGTATTTGTTATGATATTATTAATACTGTATACGAGTCTAATAAAAGGTTTTAGAGAAGAAACTCAAATACACCGTCACGGTCAAAAGTGAAATTTCTGAAAAACATGAAGAAACTGTGCCATCAGAACAGAATTATAACTCGAGGATAGCGAAGACAATGACGTGATCGTCGTAGGCTCAGAAGGAACAATCGATGATCGTTTGAAAAGCCTCCACAAAGAATTGTTAAAGGACGTAACGTAGGATTGGTTGGTTACGGTTCCTATGTGCGAGGAAGGAATAACTATAATTATAACCATGCCTCTGGAGAGAAGCCCAATAAAACTACTTACCAATTCCCTTCAGTAATAGCACAATATCCTTCAATCGCGAAAAGAATACTTAAAGATTCAAAGAAACACTGAATATACATTTTTCTTTATTCGCGTTCCCTCACATGAGTCCTCCCATCATCATAAATGTGTACCAGGTTGGTGCGCAACAGTGGCTGAATAGGATTAGATTTTTCGGAGAATAGTGGACATTCGATTTGATTGGTTAATAAATGTAAACAATAAACGTGATCACCAACCAATCAAATCAATCAAAATCTTTTTTTTTTTTTTTTTTTTTTTTTTTTTT